AGGCTTCTTCGACACTAAAGCATGCCTGAGATAGTTAACATCATACGTAATTCTTGTGATGGATTAAACTGCAAAATCGTGCACGGAGGTCAACTGATATACTCGTTGGGGGTGAAGACCAGTGACAGGTAACCTTGCTTACTCTCACTCTTTCTCCTGGTGATCGGCTGGATTATGAAGACGTCAATATCTGGAGAAAAACACGGTATCCAATAGACAGCCAGGATGCAGCTGAACGATTTGGACTTCGCAGAAGACCTAGTTCCTCTATCGCACACGCAGCAACAAATAAAAGAGAAGACGACCAGTGTAGCAGCAGCAGGTCTCAACATACATAAAGGGAAAATAAAGCTTCTCCAATACAACACATGCGCCAACCAAATCACTCTTGATGGACACACCTGGGAAGACGTTAAAACCCTTACATATCTGGACAGCATCGTTGATCCGATGCATATGTGTGGGCGTGGATCAACAAAGCAAGGGCTGCATTTCAACAATTGAAAAATATCTGGAACTCCAAACAAATATCAATCAACACCAAAATCAGGATTGTCAATACAAATGTCAAGTTCTACAGTATGGAGCGGAAACTTGGAGAAAATTGAAAGCCATCATCCAGAAGATTCAAGTATTCATTAACATTTGTCTTCGCAAAATATTGGAATCCGTTTGACAGACGTCATCAGCAACAACCTACTGTGGGAAGAGGAGGAAATCAAGAAGCGATGGAAGTCGATGCACACTGTAGCAAGCACTAACTGCATCAAAAACAAGCCCTAACTTGGAACGCTCAAGGTCAAAGGGAAAGAGGGAGGCCAAGGAACACATTACGCCTGGGAATGGGGACATGTTAAGAATGAACAAATGTTGGACAGAACTGGAAAGGGACGCTAAAGACAAAGTAGGTTTGAGAAAACTGGTCGGCAGCCTGGAAATTTTTGTAAAGAAGTTTGATTTTTTAATGTAAATTAATAAATGTTTTATATTTTGATCCATAAATTTCCTGATGTTATCCGAAAAAATCTTTTAATTGTTGAGTAAAAGAGGCAATTATCAGCAGAATACTTCCTTTTTATTGGGTTTTCTGTTGTGTTACGAATGAAATAAACTTCACTATTATGAGCTTATAGATGAGGATTTTCCCAGGTAAGCGAAAAAGGTTACATCGAGTTTATTCGTAATGCTTTCCTAATAACCCTAAAGTTAGCTAGCACGAATGGATGTATCTGTTCATTTATGTAAAGAAAGGTTTATGTAGTGAAATTTAGTGATAACGTGTGAACTACTTATTCACGTTGTAAGTAGGTCAATTGTTTTGCGCACATATAAATACATCGTTTTAAGTTTTTAAAAAGATATCTGTTAGCAGAACCAAAAAGAAACCGATGTTCGAATGTTCAGTAATCGAACTAATAAAACTCGGATAGATAATAGTAACATTCGTTGTGTTCTGCAGAAATACTTTCATACGGAAGATCATAACTATATGTTTAGTGTCTTATTGAATTATAGTCTTCAGGGGGATTTGATAATCGGTATACAAAACTGGGATTAATAACTTCCCATAACCACATTTGGTTCATGACTGGTAATAGCTACAACTTTGCATGATATTCTGGCTATCAGCATTTGACCATTTCACCGGTAAGGATGAACACTTGTAACGAGGTAATTCATTTTACAACCTTGAATACACGCAGTCTTAAAATTCCAAGTTACTTTTTACCATAGAATTAAACGTTGAATTACTCAACTACATATTATCCATTCCAACTTTACATATACTGCATAGGATGAGTCATAAACACTTCCATTTACTCATATGTTAGTACTGATGAAATCAATATAGTGACATTCAAAAGCCAAAACAGCATGAACTACTCTAATTAGGTCAGTACTTGCTTCTATTATAGAGTATATAGATTAGTAATCTCACCTTATTCGCACGTAATTAGACTATAACTGTTACCATGATCACTAACAGTCAAAAGAAACTGTCCAAAGATGATTTCTTTCTGATAATCTTTGTACAGATTAATATACTTTGAAAGACAGAAATGAACTGTGCATATACCATAAGCTAAATTGGAAATTTGTAATACACATGATAAGCTATCTTGTACGAGATTAGTAAGTTAGGAAAGAATATTTTGTAAGTAGTAGTAGTATAAGTAATCAATCTTTTTTTTAAACGTTACATCAGTGTAGAGGCCCTATTCACCACGAACAATACTTTTTATCATACACTGAGATACTTATATCCATAAAACTACATAAAATGGTCATAGCAAATGATATTTCTGATGGTACGCTTCCATCTGACAAATTGTTGCCAAGAATTACAGTTTTTAAATATATACTGTACATAATTTATCAGATAATAGATATGCCTTACTGAAAGCTTCGTTTTCTGTAAACATCCACCAACAGACCAAGGTATAAATTAGAGAAAAATTAGTTATATTTGCGAGAAGAATTCCATACAAATGAACAACAATCTCAGATACATTTTTAATTATGATGGCTGTTAGTATCATTTCGACTCGTTCGTCACTCAGCTTGCTAATTTCATTTTGTTATGTCGATATGGTATGACAAACTGAGTCAAAACAAATCCGTTTCATCGACAATGAATTTGACTTACCGAGATAGTAATTTTACTATTAAAAATAGTCTATGATGAAATAGAACTTGACTTAATCAAATTGATAAAAAATAAATTCGAACAATATTATGTTTGTGATGATTTATGGTTTCAACACCAACTCTACTGTTCTTCATTATATTAAATTCAACTTCTAGTTAATAAATTATTGAATTAAACTAAGAAGAAAACTGAACTGTTGACAAATGTAAGTCCACTGATCTGAGCTATACCCCATGCATGATGGGTATCGGTATGATTCAAAGTAGTAAATCGATGCAGATAGAGTACATTTAAGATCTGTAACCTAACAGTTGAAAGTTGAGTGAGGATGGTATTCAACAAGCTTGAGAATTCAAAGATAACAGCGCAGAGATATGAGCGGATTTACAGACGTTAATTTTTCTCGATTCCTATGACCCCGACCAGAACGAATTACCGACTAAATAAAATCAGCATGAAATACTAATGTTTAATTCTGATTCTAAAAGAAATAAAGAAATTAGACAAAAAACATTATTCAACTGTACAAAAAGAAACTGGACGTTTCTCTGTGTGCTCTGACAACGAAAATAAAATAATAGAAAAAAACAAAACAATAAGATGTGGTAGGAATATACATGTAAGTTACGTGTATACATCGTATTTGCAGAGGCGGAATAATTCAAACCAAAATTTAACAACAATGTTATTACTATTATTTACCCCATAGAGAACAGTCAAACAACAACTTCACATACACACACACACAGTCTAACGATTCGAGAAAAATGAGACTTTATTAGTTGTCAGAATAAAACTGTGAAAAAGTATGCACATATCTAAATGATTATATACACATCCGGTGCTTCATTACTGAAAAAGTTAACATAACTCTGTTGTAAACCGAATACTATACACAAGTTGCTCTCATTGAATTAGATAAGGCAATCCCATGTTATTACAGGCGAATATATAATCTTTCCATATTCTCCTCACCTTGATGAAGATCAGAATGAAGAATAATCATAACGAATTATCTTACAAGATATTACTGCCACATCTAGTAATAAAAAGCAGTTAAAGTGATTGATGAACAGGTGAATAGATCTCATGATGCTGTGAAAAGAGCTTGCAACAGAACTAACCATATCTCTGACAGAGAATGTATAAACACAATTGGTGAATTGCAAACTTTAAAAAAAAATAATAATAAATGGTCAATGTGATGATGATACAAGACTAAACAAATGAGCAATTGTTTTGAACAGAAAGCGGAAATCAATAAGGACAAAACGCACACGAAGAAGAAGAAGGAGGAGGAGAAGGGAATATCACAATGGTATGATTATCAACATTGTTCAAATAAAGCAACCACGAAAAATAAAAGCATGCACATTATACAGATGTGTACATGATCACTGCGTATGCAGAGTATTTAAAATATCCGGTTTAAAATGAAAACAAAATAATAACAATAATGATAATAATAATAAGAAGAAGAATAACAAATAATCCACCGCAAATGCATGGATTAAACACACACACACACAAGACCATTCTCATCCAGCCATGTTACTCAATTTGTATTAGTTTTCCTCACACAACAATAGAACAATGTAATAATCACACAACGGTGATTTGTATAAGTAACAAAGACCAAGTTAAAACACAGTTTTATCCAATAAGTTTCGATTCATTAAAAAAATACATGTGAGCGATGAGTTAGTTGACAAACGATTGGAACTATTTTAAAAAAAAATTAAACATTTAGAGATCTTGTTGAAGTATAAACACAAGCATACACACACACACACACGTAATTATTAGGCATTACTCGTATAATATAACGGTAACCATGATGAATGAATATATAAAAAGTTTTTATAGATCAAAAACTCATTAAGAGTAAAGCAATAACATGTTATGTGTATATCACAAATAACTAGAATGAATAATAATATTATTATATTGGATAAACATTTGAAAAGAGGTTATTTAATAATCAAAATGTATATATATTCAATTAATGCTATTTTATTATTCAACTTTGTCATTGAAAAAAACACTAGACACAATAAATCATCTGCAATTGGAAATACATATACAAACAATAGAACAAAATTATGTACAGACCATGCATGATTATTAAGTAAAGCTTATTTCAAAAGGAAATATCTGTCGATAACTCTCATTTATATATATATATATATATATATATATATATATATATATATGCGATCAATCTACATAGGTCAAATAATCTGGCGTAAATTGACGACCAAGAAGAAGAATGGGATAGTTGAATCGATGTAAATAAACAGTGGCCTGGCAAGTGTATGACGATACGGTATCAACTTGTCATGATTTCTTTTCAACACTAGATTTTTTTTAAAAAAAAAGTGATGAAAGAGAATAAGAACGGTTGAATTTGATACTTAGAGCGATTACAAATTTGATTTTGATTAAAGAATTCAGTAGGCCTTGGGAAGTCATAATAGTCAGTGTTTAGGATACACGTAAGATTGTGACTTGATATCTAACAAGAATAGAATTAGCAATTACAAACTTTGTAACTTGATGGCAACAGACAGTAGGTTGCAAATATATCAGTCTGGTTACGTCTTTAAATCAATGTCTAAGAGACTGATGTGTATTCATGCACGAACGAAAAGTAAGTCTGGCAAAACTGCTTTCCGAAATTCTAAATAACAGATCAAAGAAAGCATGGACAAATGGGTCATATTGTGAATTAAGAGGTAGTAAAAACACAGTAAACCTTTGAACAGAATTCAGATCGATCCAAGAGTAGCCGTTCTACTAACAAACCTTACCAGAAACAGTAGTTTCATTTAACTTTGAGATTGGCAACTGTCCTGATATTTATTTCGAGTTATCACCGAAACAGTAATTGAGAGTAAATATCTGAAAAATGTGAACCATTTGACACGCAGTGGAGCCACACTAGTCTCCGAATGCCCTGGTAAGGATGAGAGTAGGGATAGTCCGTTCTCCCTCCGTGTAAATAACCACTGACAAGGAATTCCTACTCATTGTCTCCTCACCACCGGTGTCCGTTACGAGTTTGAGAGGACGAATAGTGTATCTCCAGATGAGCCTTAGGCCGTGTTGGTGGGTATGGAGGATCCACGCACAGCAGTTGTAAAGCCGTAGTTCCGAACTCCAGGATTCTGAAGGAACTAATGGCGTGTGAGCCTATTATCGGTCACCGGCTACCATGAGACTGAATTTCCTTATGTTGCTCTGCTGCCTGCTAACAAATTCAATAATTTGTGGAGTGCATAAATATCACAATCTATTGGTTGCTTCATTTTGTCTGCTTAAAGATATCAATATAATGCCACAAAATAGAACAGTCGTATTTCAACGACCTTGTGCAACCCATTATATTCTATGCTCTTTGTAAATGACTAGGATGAAAATGTAATAATTGTCGTAGATAAAATATAAAGGCTGGTATGATTATGAATTCGAAAGCTCTTAGTATAGTGAGTTCCATGGGACGATGTAAATGGAGTATAATTATTATAACATAATTACCAAGACATGTTCAATTTAGTCAGAGAAAATAAGTAAAAAATTATGTCACCACTTACCGATCCAGAAATACGACTTTCATGACATTGGGAATAAGGAATATGGGATACTGGTTGAGTTTCTAAATAAATAGGTGCTGACAAGTCAAATCTTGACGAAACAGGACTGCAATGGAAATCTCGATTGACGGATAAAGGGGATAATGGACCACACAAAGATTCATTCAAACTCCCAGTACAATTACTAGAGTATTCCGGTTGACTTCCAGGAGCTGGACCCAAACTTAATGGTGCTGGACTGCCGGTACTTGGGGCTGGAATCGAATTAGCACTTCCCGTATGGCTACATGACCCTCCAAAACCAGAACCTGAAGATCCATTCGTATAACTCCCATTGTTGTAAACTTCGAAGACTCTAGTTTGAACGGAGCTACAAAAAGCTTGTTGTGAATAAGGAGGATCTGAATACATATTATTTTCATCAATTAGGAATTTTGGATCACATTTTAGAAGTCCCATATTCAAATGATCACTAGGAATGGTAACGCCATTTGAACTGTAAGAATTGTTGAGTCTCATTTCTTCGTTTCGCGACAGCGCAGAAATACTAGGATGTTCTTTTTCTCCAATATTTAAGCTGAAGCCAAAAGTAGGGTAAAATCGTTTAGTATGAATACCGGTAAAAAAACAAGATGGCAAATAAAAGATAAATTTAAGAAAGAGTTATTTTTCAACTTCAATTTTTTCCTCGTAAATAATTACGACCAACCTTTTATATAAATTAGGTGTAGGTGTGATAAACTAAACTTATTATGTGAAAGAAGAACTTTCGAACAACGGAAATAATTTTTAGCCTCAAATTAAAGTAAGTGATAAAGAGTGATAAATCCATTTCGTCACTAAACATATTTTCTGTAGGATTGGCACAGATATATTTGGAGCTTTAAAAAATTACCTGGCTGAAATGCACTGATGTACAAAGCCTTATCATCCTCGCTTAGTCAGATAGACTTCCATCCGAAGTTTGTGCTGATGAAGTTGTTCAGAAGAACGACGGAAGCTCCGCAACTGAAACATCCAGCTCAGAGAACGAAACATCACAACACTCCCAGTTGAGGGTCTTCGGTAGTTTACTGAACTCAACCAATGTATAGGAAAAATTTCTCATAATCGATTGAAACAGCAATCATGTAGTTACAAAATGCGGTAGCATCTGAAGCCTCTTACCAGATATAACCATAGGAAACCAATTCCCGAGTCTTGGAGAAATCTTACCTACACTATGAAGCGCTGTTTGCTTTCAAAAAACTGAGGTATATAGTAGTATTACAATCACATTCATAAAATGTTTTGAAAAGTTATCAAACATAATTTAGAATCAAAACAAGTTATAATGTAGCTTTATTTTATCTTACATTTACCAAAATTATCATTATTTCATAACCTATCATTTTCCTTTTATTTGATTAGTATGACACGTCTGGGTATCCATGTTATTGGTTTGAACAAAATACATATGTGCGTGTCATTGTTACTTATCGTGATAAATGATGAATTTTGTGCTGAAAAGCTTAACCTTTCTTTTAAGTTAATTCTCAGATAGTCGTGTAGTTACTTTTGTGCACTTTTTGAATTGTTACTTTAGGATTAGCTTACTGGGTTGTACAACCGAACCACTCACTGAATAAAATATACCCAGTATTTAACTGTTGATAACACCGTGAAATTCCATTTATTTTTAATTTCCAAATAATGGGTTTTATGTTTTGATGCTACATCAGTTGCGAAAATGTTGGCAGTCAGGTACGGAGACTTCATAAAACAGATAAATTTCAGCCTAATACTCGAAAGAATCTATGAAAAATAAGGTTTATTCTTTTTTTACGGTAATTTTTTGGATATAAGAGGCAATGAAACGTGATCGTCTAAACAAGCAAAATCATTGTTTCATACTCCAATAAGTACAGTTTATTTTACCGACAGTTGCAAAGAAAGACGTGTCACTTTAATCTATACACTTAATAGCTTTTATATGAGTATTGAGCACAACGCTCTTGAATACAACCAATCTGCCTATCAATGAAGTAATGTATTGTGATACATATATCAAAGGTCTTACTTTGAAACATATGCCTTGGACCACAAGAATTTCATTTGAGTAGAGTCTGATTTACCTTCAGAATTACATTTTGTAATTTGTGCAGGATTCATTGGTTCAGGAGAGCTATGAGTAAATTTGGATGGATTGTAGATTTGATCACAAGCAACCGAGTTGGATTCTGAAACGTTTGTTGAGTGAATACTTAAGTTGTTAGACAAATGCGAGGGTTGATCATGAAAGAAATCAAGATCATTGTTGTTTTCTAAAACACAATGTTTTTCAAAATTCTTCATGCACTGAACATGTAATTTTGATGACTGATCCAGGCTGTGTTCATCTGCTAAAGCACTCTTATGTCTTCCATATCGGTATCGAGTACTTTTCATGCTTTTTTTGCTACGTCTGTGGTTTTTTAACGGTTTCACTTCTTTCCTGCTTGACAAACCAGCAGTACATCCTATTTGAGGAGCAACCGGAGTTGCGCGATTTTCGTGACAAGCTTGAGAAAAATGGAATGATTGATCTGTCATTCGAAACCGATGTTCAGAATCAAGCGTTCTTCCGACCATACCACAACCATCTCCATTATCATCATCTTCGTTTGGTGACGGTATGTACAAGCCAACAAGTCCAGAACTCATGGGGAGGGCTCGGTTCAGGATTCTATGAATTTGAAACTGATTAGGATCCATAAAGGTTTCTGCTTCACTCGCTACACAAAACTCAGTTAATTCCTCAACAGAACTATCGTTTTTAACGTTGGACTGTCTTGATAATATGGGAAAATTTACATTTTCATCTTGAGGATCTATGTCGTTTGAAGCTTGAGAAGAATTAGACGAGATATCAGAAGATACCTGGACATCTACAGGAGAAATTACAGGTTGATGAAAAAGTTCCTCCTTTGATGGATTCACGGGCTTTCCCAAACGAATAATTAAACGTAAAGGGTGGGATTCAGGGCGTTCCGTCTTAGGAATTTCTTGCACCCCAGTAAAATTGGTGATGGAATAGGATTGACTATTATCACAACAATTATCAACATCATCATTTGAGGCTTTTTTAGCAAACACGTTTTCTGGAGCACATGTAACATTCAGCTGTTTATGGTCAGCCGATGATGCACCACTAGAAGCACTAATAAGACGGCTGTGGGATCGTGTTACACTAGCAACATGCCGACGAGTAGATACTGCAGTGCTTCGCTTCCGAGGAGAGGTTGAAAGATTAGCACGCCAAGGCCGCGCCTACAAATGAATGAAAAACATCACTGAAAGCATATAATACTGAAAATAGTTGGAATCGTGTAATTTAGATAATCCCATGATATTAAAAGAAACTTTTATCAGGTGTGAATATCTAGTACACATGCAACCGAGTAGCTGTTAAAATGTTTATCCCACATGTAAACTGTTAAATATTTTAACCATTAGTCGTGGTATACTCGATTCGAATAAACGGTACAGATAGCATTCTATAAACCACATAAAATCTTTTATAGCATTTGAAGTACATATTGTTGATGTGAAAAAAAACTATCAAAGCAAAAAATTATATTAGGGATTAACAGCTAAACCAATCCAATGAGTTAATATATATTATACATTTTAAAAAAAAACTCCGAAACACACAATAGAAATTAATTCTAAATTTTGAAAATAATCTCGTGTGATGTTATTCAGTTTAGACTTTTTCCATAAGTTGTAATCGATAAATATGCATATATGTACATCCTACAGATAAAGGTGAATTGCATCAAATCAAGTGAATAATCATGACCTCGTTTTGAAAATATTCCTAAAACATAATATTACTTATATGCATCTACTACTGGTACTTACTCAGTTTTATAATAATGAGGCTACAAAGACGAATTTACATGACACAATATCATCACAAAGATCACATCATCTATCAAAAACGAAGATAATACAAAGACAAAATATGACTGACTTACCAACTGGGCATAGTTACTTCGACGCTCTTGTCTTGCAGTAGAGAAAATCTTTTTAGTTGACAAGGGATGAACAGGTGTATTCTTCTTTAGCGTGACACCAGGAAGAACAACACTAGGCACAGCTTGACTGGATTGTGTGATGTGAACATTATGAATTGGAGATGATGTCTCATCCAATCGTAAAGTCTTTGGGGGGTTTTGACATTGTAGATTACTATCCATTATAATGGTAAGATTTCTAGGACCCTTACAATGAATGCTTGTTTTTTCGCTTTTCTTCTTTCGTTTCCTGCTTGAATTATTGGGACCAGATTTGGAGATTTCTTTGACAATGGGAATTTTGTTTACAAGACGAATACTCAGTGAACGATTCGGAGGATCATTTGTCATCTCTACAATTGAGTTGGATTTAGTTTCACTGACTGGATTAACGAAATGGATTTTTTTACGCTTCTTTTTCTTTGACTTAGATTTGAGTGCAGCTAATTTCAAGTTAAGACGCAATTTAATTGGGGGGTGTGACAGCTGGTCGTCATTATCAGTTACGATATTCTTAGACGATGAATCAGGATATAAAGAATCAACATTTTTATCTTGAAGTACATCTGGCTGGGGCGAATTTGTTTGGCCTGTTGCGTTTTCGGAACGAACATGTACAAAACTATCAAGTGGATCTATTAGACTTTCACTAACAGAAGTAACAACTTTGGAGTGGGATACATAATCTTCAACACCAACAGGAACGCTTAATGACTGTTCACAGTTAACATCGGGTAACAGCACAATCGGAGAAACAGAGGATAAACGATTGTCATCTTTATCTGCACTGTCAACAACTACGACTGGTACATTTGGAATAACCGACAAATCATTCATTATAATTGTGGGAGAAGTAGAATATTCTACCACATTAGAGTCTGAAGGTGCATTTGTGTTTTCAGGTGTCAAGCAAACAGAACTAGAAAGAATGTTTTCGGATTTATTATGCTCATCTACCGAGGGTTTCTTTGAGTCAGAACAATGATGTTGAGCTTCGTTATTCACTGTTGTAACTAAATGATTAGAAATATTATCCGTACTAGGAACAAAATTGTTTCCTTCGGTGTAAAAATCGTTAGAATTATGCTCGACGATCTTAGTATTAGACTTGCGAAAAGAAATACGGGGACGTCGTTGACGTTTGCCAGCTGATCGTTTACGCCTGTTCGTTTTTCTTGGCAATGAAGAAATGCATTTCAAGCGTTTTTTAAAACTTTCAGGAGAACTCGACTTGGATAGTGGTGATTTTGGGGGGTTACTTGAATCATTGAAGGAAGGTTGGTTATGAAAGTGATTTGGCGAAGCTTGTGGAGATGTAAAGATAGTGGCTGGTAACAAAGTTGATTTTTCTGGACTTTTACTTGATGTTGGAAGTAGAAAGTTGGGTTGAAATAATGGTTTCGGTTGCAAAGCAGAGGCATCGATTTGAAGAGATTTATCAACGAACCAAGAGGAGTTGCACGCAAATGAACTAGGAACGTTGGTAATGGTTTGAGAAGTTTCCTTAGATTTGGATTCTGAAGAGGCGGACTTTGCCAAGTCTGCGAATGTCACATTTCTCCAAAGAGTTTCTGGGGTATTATTGAGTTGGAATTCATTCCCAACACTGTTCTTTTCAACTTTAGCTGCCAATGCACTAAAGCTAGTTGCTCGAAAGGCTGCAGCCCCAGCAAAGCTACCGGTAATTCCCACATTTCTGTTAATGAGTAAAGGTGAAACAGTAGGAAACACTTTTTCAAGTGAATGACTGGTTGAAGAGCTACTATCACATAAAGAGTTCGACTGACTAACCGCTGTGGTAATCGGTAAAGGAGTAATATAACTTTGGAAAGGACTATGAGATTTTGGTACAGAACAGAACGAAGCAGGCGTACAAAGAGTGTTGAACGTATGTGATACAGGAGTAGAAAAAACCAGTTGACGAGAGGTTATAGAACTTTTGCTTGACTCGCAACTAGTAGAGACTGGTTCATCAAAAATATGATTGCCATTGGTTTCTGACGACAAGACTGAAGAACTTTCTGGAACCTCTTCTATTGTCGATCGGGTATCATTGAAATGATTTTCAGAATCCATATTTTGAGTAGAGATTGAGTCACAGTCTCCAGAGACAGACTGTTCATCGCACGGTCTGCCAAATAACAAAACGTTTTGATTTGGCTCACACCAAGAACTAAAATTAGACTTTAGATTAGGCACAACTTCACAAGAATTTGACTTTAATGCAGCAAAAGTTTGTAGTTTCGTATCGTGTAAGAAACGTTCAAAAGGTGCTTCATCCAGTGACCCAAATTGCTTTGAAAAGTTTGGATTTACTCCAATAAAATTATTTTTATCAAAATCAAGACGTGAACGATGGCCTTCTGTCATTGTAGGTAAATTAATTTGGGGTTTGTCAAGAGGTTTTGTTCTATTGATGTGTCTACCACGTTTTTTTCGTTTATTAAACTCTCGGGTATGAAGTCGTGGTGTTGAAGAAGAGATAATGTCTTCATCATGACTAGGTTTAGCAACAGCTGCTTCATCTGGTTCAACTTTTAACTTATGAGCAGATGGGATTGTGGAACATGAATCGTCACCAGACGAACAGACATCAGAATGTAAACACGATTCTGGAAATAAGGACACTCCAGTAGCTAGGACCAAGGGTGGTAGATGACATTCGAACTCCGGATAAATGGGAGGATTAGGGACATTTGATAACTCACCGTCTACCGAAGATAACCTAAGTAAAATAAAATACGTTCTTGAATGTATATCCATACAACATATATAAATGCTTATTAAGTAACGTTTAGAATGCTAACAAAATGCTGAAAAGTCCTACACTCATAACAAAAAATATTATAGTTCACTAAACTACTACTACATTTTCAGAAAGGTTTCACCTGTACATACTGGAATTTTTCTATATAGATTCAGAAAACTTAAGTCCGACAGTTATGAGACACTAATCTCCATCAGTGTATATGAGTGCATCAGAAGCCTGGAGGAATGAATGGATTATGAATATATTTTTGGTACTGATAAGAATTCAAATGCAACTGATCATAACAGTATGAATTCTATGGAATAGAGCTGAAGATAAATGATTCAGCAATAAATTCTTTTGGAAAGCTGTTTTCATTTTGGTAGTACCACTGGCTTTATAGAATTTACGATACACGGATTGTGTTTGAGTTTTGGCTATTACTAAATTAGGGCAGTATCCATTCTAGAGATCCATAGTGACCTGCAGATATGATTTTATGTCGACGCTAAAACCTATCAGCCAATAAAACATGTATCAATTCAGAGGAATAAGTTTTGATAACTAAGTTACGGGATTAAATCCGCTGAGATTTTCATTCGCAGGTAGTATTTTTATTCTCGATTTAATTGACAAAAGAACGAGTACGTAAATCTCCAGCTCACTTTATTTCCTATGGACTTTAAAATAATCTACGTAACATTGAATTATAAAGCTTAAAAATATAAGGTTTGGAAATATCAACATGAGCATGATGTTTTGGGCACGTATATCTCTTGACTATAATTATTCATAAAAAGTTCCTGAGTGAACTGACATTACTTTTCAGGAAAGATATAAAATCTGAAATAAGCTGCACTTACCCAAAGGAATGAGGACGTCTTGCAGCCAGTTCTAGAAGATCATTGGTAGTAATTTCCTTGGTAGGATAGTTATCTGACTGTTTTTGGAAATGATTAAACTCATTTAGAGACGGAGCGACACTCTGAGAAGCATTTAATTCATTAGTAGAGGGATTTGATTTACAATTCGTCTTCATTGGATTTCTTCTCAAGTGCGATAAATGTGGTTTCTTATTACTAGCGCGTTTTCGTCGGCCACGTCTGGAGTGAACATTATTGGAGTTTTTGAATTGTATTTGCCCAGAATTGATATTGTTAGAAATGTGATCACTACTGACTGACAGTAAACTACTTACATGAGTATTATCGCCGTGAATTATTTCGGACTCACTGGCAACATCGATATTCTTCCAATCCGAAAACTCACTATTTGAAGCCCCATATATGCCTACTGTTTTCAACGATGAGCTCTGAGATACACTTGAAGTTTGAGAAGATGAAACCATAGCGCTTTCAGAACTGCTAGAAGCATTTCTCGTAGACTCAAGAGTTTGTTGACTACGACGCTGACAACTTTTTAACATCCGATCAAGTGAGGCTAATCCTTCTATGCTTGATTTGATAGGTGAAATATCAGAATCACCGTCCAAGTCTGCAACAGCCTCTACTAGGGCAGATGATGAAGCGAGAACTCCAAGGATAGAAATATTGGTGGACACTATATCTTCTGTATTTACTGATATATTCTGATCAGAGGAAAAGGCAGAACATGGTCTTTTATTGTCAAAATAAATATCTGGTTTAAACATACATATTGTCGAGGTGGCAATGTCACAAGATGAAAATGAATTAGAAGCACAAGATTTTGATATGTTTTCTGCTCCCTCAATTATATCAAACTGTGAAAGGGAAATAAAATTAGGCAAGCTTTGAGGGCGGGGTGGCAAGTTAGAACTATATTCAGGAGAACGAATATCCTTGACACCGAATTGGAACTTCGGACTAACAGACTGGGGACGCCTTGGGAGATTACAGCACACTGGATATGTTGAATTTGTTAGAACAGGGATTTTAGAGAGATCACAGTGACAATTAACAAAAGTATCTAGAACTGAGATTGAGTCTTGTGTAATAGGTTTATCTTGTGAGGGTAAAGTTGAACTATTTGTTGATACGGATTTTTCCTCTAATATAGATGGTAATAAGTCGACCAACTCAGTTTTCTCCTCAGGTGGTAAAAACCCTGCATCGTCGTTAGTTGGTGTATTAGTATTTTTTATAATGTCATCGTCAACAACAATTTGCTGAGACTGCGTAGTTATTAATGTTACTGGATCGCCATTATCTTGGGAACTGATCAGGTAGCTTTCAGTATTTTCTGCAGTGTCATGATTTAAACCACTTCCAGTAGTACATTCCTTAATCTCATCGATTGGAGATGATTGCATTGGAGGGATATATTCATTCGGTGAAGTAGATTCGTTGACTGATATTGAATTTCTTACTGAATTGTCAACTTTATGTTGCGGAGATCCATTTTTAGACTCAGTTGTCTGAATATCACTCGCTTCAACAATTGTAAGGTCTGTGCAGTCAATACGTAACAACTTTTTATCTTTTGCTGAATTTTCATTGTTTTTCATCTTGTCTTCTATGTGAGAAACAAAATCAGTCACTGAAACAGGAATTGTATTCTCGCTGTGAATTTCGGACTGACTAGCGGGTGAATTCGGTTGAGGTCCTAACAGCATTAAGGCTTCATCAAACTGTTCTGCTGTTGTGCATTCATTTACTGCATCAGAAAAATCTACACCAATGAAGTCATCATCAATATCAGACGTGAACCTACATGACCTATTGAGACGTCGCGAAGTGGCTTCGAAGAAATGATTAAAGCTTTTGCTTCCCCCCGGTGGTGATCCAAAGCGTGAAGACACCGAAATAGCGTTGGCATCACGAAGTAACGATCTAACTTGCCTTGATACAGGTAGGGTATTTGTTGCATCCTCAACCATATCGCAAGCGATATCACTAGGAAAATCATCTACTGAGTGAAAACCCAAATCATTTTCAGTTTTTTGTTCCGGTTCATGAGAAGAGTGAAAATCAGTATCAAAAATATTAACTGAATTATTCTGCTCACTTAAGTCATCCACTGTAGGTGAGGGACCGACAAGAGAATGAAGAAAAGAATCTGAAACACCTCCACCATCAGACAAATCTGGAGCTTCTTGACCTAGAACCGATTCTAAATTAGCAGCATCTTCAGCATTACAACCAAGAACTGCTGCCAAACTTGTGGGTTCATAACCATCATCGAATTCGTTCACTGAATCAGATGTTTCATTCACAAATTGGCCATTTACCTCCGTCTTAGAGAAATCATCGAACAAATCGCTTGGTAAGAGATCATCAGGTTTTGTTTCTTTTAAGCCGTCAACTGAGTCTTCCACGTTACTAGGATTAAGAAGTGGTGAAAGTTTACAACTGGTGGAATGAGTAGGTAGCAAAGAACTATTGAATGTTGCGTGAATATCGCCATGGATATTATCTCCACTCTCTGGATGAGAAGAATCGCATTCCGAAGAAAGTGCATTTTGATGAGTTACTGATGCCAGGGTAGAAGATGGTAAAGGAACGGCGACAGCTGATTGGGCATCCCCAACTCCACTCGCAGCACCAACCATAGCAGCCGCAGCAAGTAAAGCATCAATATCTGCATTTCCTGTGCTTTCTTCGTTTGAACAAGATAAGTGAGTACCATTATCTTGATTTTCGAAATCAGCTCTATAATCCGGTCCACTGTCTAAAAGAATTACATCTTTGTCTAAAACATCAGAACCAGTATTAACAGAAGATTGACTTAGAATATGACCCTGGCACGTCATGTCTGAATTGAAGTTAAAAGCCGTCGCACTTTGTGAATAGACCTGGAGGAAATCTTCGAACATGCCATTATGCTCATCTTCTGTTTGACTCATTAGAACATCTTGATTTTGTTTTTCATGCGCTTCAAAATCATCCTCCATTTGCGTTAGGTGCCAAGCAAGACTAATGAGGTCATCTTTAGCTAAACAAGTATCGTCCTCTATAAGTCCATTGGCTTCGCATATGCTTGTGGTGACTTCCAAGTTGGGTAACGTGATCGATGAAGCGGGTAGTGGCGGAAAAACGGGAATGTTTCCATTATTACCATTGTTATGAAAGTTGCCAGCTGACGTAAGAAAAGCATTTTGACAAGCCATTTGACTCTGGACAATAGTGGATTCTGAAGATATCTGTACATTGGATGATATGCAAGAACTATCTATCAAACTAGGTGCAAATGATTGTAAGAATGTTGCATGGTCAGTAAAGGTATTTGCACCAGCTATATCGGTAGGTATATTTGGAAAAATAGTTGGGATAATTTGATTCGAAAGGAGATGTTGGGTCTGAAAAGGATACATGACCGGTCCGGGCTGTGAAGAGGGCTGAAGACCCATTGTCTGATTCGGCTGAGAGCATACAGATGATATATTAATTGATGAGTCACTAGAAGATATTGTAGGGGGATATGAGTTATTCATAGGAATGCATGACGAGGGGTAGTACGTTAAAAGCCCAGTAGCAGGATCGAGAGAAGCCATTGTTGGCCCATTACTGGCAGCAAATATAGTCGCAGAACTGACAGATGGTAGAGACCGAACAACCGCTAACGGACACGACGTTGACGGAGAAATTGAGACAGTACATGTAGCAGGACTGAATACGGAATTCGAGAATTGTGAGCAACTATTAGATATAGGGAGGGGTGATTGAAAAAGAAAAGGAGCTACGCCGTTTGGCATTGTGATTGGTGGTGCGTTATGTAATGGATTACCAAAAAGAAAGGTTGGTGGAATGGCTCCATGTGGTAAAACTGGTCCGGGATTTGTAGTTGGTGGTACAAAAATGGGTTGTGTGCTGTAAAACGAAGACAATGCTGATGGACTACTTAACGGCAAGGAAACTGGAGTTGGCAAAGAACAAATATTACTGGTATCAGCGCTGATTCCCATAGCTGAGTTAACAGAGTTTGTTATACATATGGGAGAAGCGTGAGCACTAGTAACAAACGTGGTAGAAACCGACTGTTGTCCAACAGCACAGCGACGCCTACCTCGACCTGACCGTACGAAAGAGGAACTAAAGTTAACTAAGGGTAATGATACCTTTCTAGAAGCTGAATGCAACAGTTTTGGAGGTGTCTGTACGCCAGTAACTGTCCCAATATTGGGAATGCTTGCATGACTACTTTGCAAGGAAGTGTTGTTTGATATAATCCCGTTCATACTTGAAATAGCAGTAACAAGACCATGACGCTTTATCCCACTTTTCGATATCGCAGTCGAAGCGGATGTAGCTTTTACTCCCAGTGTAGCAACAGAACTTACGTTTGATGGTTTCGGAGCGATAGCTCTCATACGTTTGGCTCCTCCGGCAGCGCTGACAGGATTGGAAAGCAGGGGATTAATAATAACTCCTGGAAGTTTAGTACTCATAACACTGGCTGTAGTTACTGTAGTAGTTACAGGACCAACAGAAAGTGTAGAATAAGGAACAAGTGTTGAGACGGGAACTCCAACCTGAGAAAGGGTTGAATTGATAAACCCATTAGATGATCCACATAAAGAAGCAGGTGTGGGTGTTTGATTTGTCACAGTATAGGAGGAGGTGGGTATCGTAGACATGGAAGAGACTGAATGTGATGGTAAAGGTGTAGGTGTGATCGATAAAATTATTGGTCCACCATTGACAGTCCCTCCACTAGCTAACGCGCTAGATATACCATCCCAAATTAACTGCGTTGGAACGTTGATTGTGTAATGTTCCCCCATTTTAACACCTGGTAATGGTAAGACTTGAAGAAGAACTGGTGGTAAACCTGGAAAATTAATTTGTGCAGCTGGAAAGTCACCATTCGGACTAATTGGCATCAAATTTAGAGGAAAACACGGTGGCAACGTTGGGTTGGTAACTGGACGAATCCCAGATTCTCCGTTGAAACTTGAAACATTTTCTGAGTGCATTTGGTTGGAATTTAACATGTTAGATTGTAGGGCTAATGTGACTGGTGTGGACCCAGATATGGAAGACGACAAGTTTTGTGTTGGATCAATAACTTCTATTGTTTGGTTAGGAATCGTCGAGAAATTTGGATTTGGACAAATCGTAGATGATTCAACTGGCAACATGGAATCGTATGAAAAACTAGAATTAGCTATGCTAGCATTCAAAAACTCATTTTTACATGTCATAGGAACAGTTATGTTTGAATTTCCAAAGTCATTTATAACTAAGGAACTACTAGTAATTGGAGAGATCGAATGAATCTCAGAATTTGAATTGTTCGAAGGATTAATAGAATGAACTAACAATGACGCAGATGGTGGTAAAATTACTGGAGTGTGACTAGACGAAGGTATGTTCAAGTTCAAGCCACTGACAGGATTTTGCAAAGACGTTAGCGACAAGGAGGGAGGCGGATTAGATGAAATTGTTGAAGAAACAGATAAAGCAGAGGAACATAGAACATTTGAAGACAAACCAGACACAATTGGAACAGCAACAGATGGAATACCTGAGTAACAAACAGATGTTTCAAATGACGAACCGCAACTAGAACTGGAAATAGTTGGACACGAGGTGGGTGTGCATATGACAATAGGATTTTCATTCATCGTTTCATTGTTTTGTAAGCTAAAACAACAAAATAAGCATCGATGCAGACAGAGTTGGTTAATTTTCCTCAATAAAAATAGATATTTGGGACCAAATTTACCGTAATTATAAAAATGTCTAGAAAACAAGTTAAACACCACCAAGGAAAAAATAGTATTGCAAACAATCGACTCATTTATAAATTGTAATAAGGAACGAAGAATAATACGAATCCGCTCCAGTCACGGCGGTCATCACGTAGATGAAAGCAAGAATAACTTTTGTATTGGGGTTGAAAGAATTTTTTTACATTAACTAAAGAACATAAAATCTGACAAAACTGGAGCCAAAACTTGAACGTATCACAAGAGAAAACAGAGATTACTTGTGAGGGAAAAAGTTCATTTGAAGAAAAAGACAATAAATAAACAAGTTGGATAAAAACAGCATATAATGTGAGACGTAGTTCGGTTGAAAATGCAATCTTCCTGTAGTTTCTCCTAACGTAGTGGAGAACACAAGAGGAAACTTGAGATGTATGTACACAACGATAACTGCTTTGTCAACTGATGCGTGTTAATCTATTTTTAATACAATAAATTTACATGTACTTGGTCTCATTACATATTATAGTGACGTCCCTGTTGTGACAATTGCTGTAGATAATGGAACCATGAGCTCACAATTTACAACTGACACCACTACCATTACAAGTTAATCTGTTCGAGACCCATCTGACTTACATCGATTGCTTATCGCCCCAGTTTGAAAAAAACCTCGAATGCTTTCTGCGCAAACTGCAGGAGAATCGGTTGATTACACTGTGCAAAGTAATTGCCTACACAACCATCTAGAACTTTACTAAAACTTATAGAAAGCAGACTAGTTTTAAACCTAGACGTGAATATATCGATCAAATATCCACCTATCCTCAGATTCTGGAAAACAGGCATCAAAGACGATGCTCAACCGTAGCCTCATTTCGTGATCTTAAGGATTTACTCGACTTCGTTAGCTACTAGTGTATCATCAAAAAATACACCCTGATAAAGTTGAGTAACTACGGGTCACCATAAATACAGATATAGTATTGTGAAATGAACTGGGGTTCAATCAAGGTGAACAATAACAGAATGTTATACGGGACATAACTTATGAAGAGTGTAAAATGGCAGAGTTGAAATTGGCTTTTACTCCCAATCAAAACTGATTACACCTCTAGTCATAGATAAACAACTATCTAAGAAGCTAACGAGGGCAAGGGTGTTCCGCTGAATGTCAGTCATCGTTAGAAGATAACAATGATCAAGCACAGTCGCCAAACATCTCAAATTTGAGGATTAGATTTCACAATTACAGAGTATGACAAATCTCACCATACTGTAAACCCAACCTTTCACAGTCACATTAACATCATGACAGGGACAAAGGTCGTCCAGATTGGTATGAGCCACTGACTTTTTAGTGTGCACACATTGATTTCATTTGTTGAACCACCACAAACAGTATTCACATAACTAACCAGATACATGAACTTGAATTACTCCAAACGATTCACTGAAAACAGTAAATGCCAACTCAGACAGACAGACAGATACAACGCAGAACTTCGTACATAAGTACATCAGTTCACGTTGCCATACCACATCAGCACGGAGACGCAACTGACAGTTCAAATCTAACAGTGATATTAATAGTAGAAGTATTAGCGGCAATGGAGAAGATTAGGGAGCGAAGATATGATTCCAGAAGTATAAATCAATGAGATAAATTTAGAAGGAGAAAGATGGAGATAATGAGGAATTCAGAAGGTTAGAATTATAGAGAACACAAAGAATGGATGCACCTGCGCCATTGCAAACGATTTTGAGCCATGTCGTTGAAGGTGACTTTCGTCTCGCGGACCCCAACCAGGTAGCCTACATCTATCAACATGACTCAGTCCACTTGTCAGTGACTTCATGGATTTGTGTCATGTTTTGGTGGCCAAAACAAAACGAAATGCCAACTCAAACTTCTTTCGACCTTGTAAGAGTACTTCACGTCTAAAATATGCAAAGTACATGCCAGACACACGGATTTTGCTTGCCGACTGATAGATTGAGGACTGCATAGCTTGATTGCGATTATCTTATCCAACGATGTCGGCAAGTTTGATTCCTCAAACCTTGTCAATTAATCCACTGTTTCCTGACTACAGGTTCGAAACGATTCCTAAAATAAACAATTAGTAAGTTGTCCGGACTTAGTGACTTGTAGTGCTTTTGGAGTTAGAGATGCTTACGGACATCAATCTCGTTAGGTGACTCAGTCCTGACCGACCAGGAAGGACAGAGAGTACCGATGTCAAAATATCATCATTACATCCATCTTGTGATCGTGAATTAACCCGTTCTTTACCATTTACCTGATGTCGGTCAGTCAGCTACAACATACAACTTGGTACACAAGAGAAGAGAAAGAATGGTTGCCTGAGTCATCGCAAACAATTTTGAGACTCCCAGGATAGGTGAAGCGGTCAACACGCCCAACCACTTCACTCCCTGCCGTTGCAAGCCAATCTTGAAGCAATATTTTGCATTTCGAGGGGAAGAATCGTATCCCGAACATACATTGTTACTTAGGGTAGTCAGAAGACTGCATTTTGCCATCGTCTTCACAAAATAGAACTATTTCATTCGCATATTCTAAGTCGACAAGTGAATCGCCAAAACATGACGCCAATCCATGAAGTCACTGACAATTGGATTGAGTTATGTTGGCAGGTGTCGACTACCTGGTTGGGCCTCGCGAGATGATAGTAATGGGTCGTTAGTGACCCTAAATGACATGGCTCAAAATCGTTTGCGATGGCGTAGGTGCATTCATTCTTTATGTTCTCTCAAATCCTAACCCTCGTAGTTCCTCGTCACCTTTATATTTTTTTCACGTTTCGTTCACTAGATTCTACTTCTTGAACCCTAATCTCTCCCATTACAGATAATGGTTCTACTATTTCTACTACTATTATATTATAAATTTACAGTGTATTGTCTAGGACAATTTTACATTGGTTTTCAGGAGAACCATAGAGACTGGACACGTTTTACCATTACTACATGAATAGTTCGGCTCAATCCTGTGGTGCAACCACACAGGTACCTGATACCCTGGTGGACCATTCACACCGTTTCATATACACACAATGGTATATATATTTCCGATCAATGATCGCGTCAATCAACATGCACCGCATGAACAGGCCATTTCGACACATCCCGCTTACATGACTGTCAAACTCATTATTATTAGCAATGGTGATATGTAATACAGCACCCCGATGACAATGGCCCTCGGAAATGTCGCAAAACAACCACCTATATCAATGAAATCGGTCACCCTGCTAACCAATTTTGTATATGGACTGTTAACAATGCTTACCAAAGCAAAGCAAAGCCATCCACAATATACACAGCGAACCTCTAGTCTCATAGGAGACCTTCAGCTCTATATAGCAGTATAGCATATGGTGTACACATATATGGCGCAGGATAGTAGAAGAGGCAGCCCAGCTTGATGCAAATAGGCCCAAACACTTCTATTACCCTTTGTCTCATGTCGGGCAATGATTTTTTCGCGTTTCCGAAATTTTCATTTTTCGACCATATGAGACCTGAGTTAGGGGTAGTATCCCTATTTCTACTACTATGGGATATGAAATTACAATTACGTCTCTGTACTAGTGTGGTATGGCAACTTGGACTGATGTACGTACGTACGGAATTGTATGTTGTTGCTGACTGACTGGCTACACATACACGTCCAGATCGGAAACCGGCCTGGTTTTCTTGAGTCTGCTCTTTACAAGCTCTAGTTAGGCGTCAAAGTATTACTGAAACTAATATTTTAGACACTATATTAATCAGACTGATTCCTCTGTGATTGTCACAAGAAGACTCTTGTATTTTCTTAGTTTTTTTTCTAAATTCATTTCACTAGATTATATTTTATGAATATCTTGAACCCTAATCTTCTTCACTGTCTCTAACAATTCTACTGCCTTTACTACCATGTGATTTGAATCGACAGTTCGATCTCTGTGCTGTGCTGTGGCAACCTGAAAGTCTCAAGGGTTAGCCTATCAAGGCTCGCTGCTCTCCCGTGCTTTAGATTTATTATTGCTTCTCCAACATCATTAAGAGTCAGAGTACTTACATCAATTCGCTATTCAGGTTGAATGGAGATCGTGGGTGACTAAAGCGTGGCTGAAGGCCAGTTGGACTGCTCCCTAGTGTTCTGTCCATCGATTCAATCTCCTTGACTGAGAATAAATAATGGTCCTGTTTTTTTGCCTGATAGTATAACTAACAGTCGGATTTCTAATGCCAATTTCCTTGATAATTCTGAACAGTTGTCTGCTTTATTCAGTAGAACTCGTGTTTAATTTAGGAACAATCAGCTACAGCTCCCATTCATGGTAGACTAGCGTTATTTTTCAGAAATAATAGGTCTTTTTACTCGGTAGGAATGTTAAAAGGTGTTCTCAGTGGTTGGACGTACTAATAACTTAATCCTAAAGGTTGAGAAAAAAATGACTGGTTGAGGGTCGTAGATCCATCTCTTCTGGCTAGGATTATGTTGGGAAGGGTCGTCACTAGTATTAAGCAACGGCAATCAGTGGAACCAAAAGGCAGTGGCGCTTAGTGTTAAGTAATCTGTTAAGGGAACAGGCATTAAAATTTTGGGGAGTCAATGGGAGAGAAAAGATGAGACGAATATTGACTTCAATCTAGTAAATCATACCTATAGAAAGAATATTTTAAGCTATAGTTCGAAATGCCTCTTGCTATCCTCCATTTGCCTACTATATCGAAAGAACCGCAATGACTAACTGAGACAAGTACCCCAACTCCTAGCGAAGTTGGGAAGGATGAAATCAATCTGGATTGAGAGAGGGAAGCAGGCCCATACTGACTAACCCTAAGATACGTGGAAATACTAACCAAGTTTTAGCAGTTAAGTTAGCTGAGATGCTAGTTAA